TACAGTATTGAAGATTTGATAATGAGTTTTATTTTGCCAGTTTTTGTGTTTAATCTCTTTAAATTATATTCTTCTTCAAGAGATAATACAGTTAATTACCCAGTGAATGTATCAAGGAGGAGGGAGTGAGGTGTGTTTTTGAAACTTTACAACCAAAGAATCATGTTTCCAGTTCAACAACAAATTGTATAAATAGGAAAAAAAACATTATAATTTTAACTGAAAGTAGGGATCATTGGTTATTTGTACAATTGCCAAAAGAAGTAGCTAAAACAAAATAAATGCTGCAATAAAAAATGAATCACAATGCCAACCAAAGTAGGGGTTGAAAATCGTTTTAAAATATATCCAACTGGTATCACTTTACTTATTTGTGTACTTTTTATTGCAGCATTTATTTTGTTTTCGATACTTCTTATAGCTCTGCTCATGCTAGCCTATCTTCACACTCGCAAATGTGATGCTAAACTCAATATGGTGAATCTAAATCACCTTTAATTCATCACAAAAGTGAATACAAGTTCATTATTACTTTTTAAAGTAATCTTGACAACAAAGAAGCGACCACTGAACATCACTTCAAAGCACACGGTACAATCAATGAGACACTTTATCGAATGAAAATTTTCTTGACAGAAATTTAAGGAATCTCTTTTTATTCAATCCAGCTGTCCATCTGTTTACAGGTACAATGCCTGGCCCTTATAATTCTCTTTTTTTTTAATTTCTTCTTTTATTTATTTATTTTTTAACTTTTACTATTATGATCAGTGATTCTGGCCCATTTAACAATACTTTTAGCACGCTTTACATGTACCGTTCCCTTATATTGTTGTAATTCTATTTTCCTTTCAGTTACTCTAATTTAAAATCAGTTTGGTATCTGTGATGTTCATTGACCCTTGGAAAAGGCATAATCCAAAATGCTGGGTTGAATAAATTAACTTTTATCTGAAATTGTTTGTCATCTTTATTGAGAATAGAAATTCACCCACACAAGTAAATATATAATACTAAGACCACCCAATGAATTGTCAACACATTTTAATATTTTTGTGGTTCAATTTCCCGTTCACCTTTATCGTAAGTTTATACTGCATTGCTGGTTTAGAATAGGCATCCCACACATGTGTAAGGTTATCTGTTTTTTATTCGGGAACTTCTTCTTGAAACATGTTATAACTTGAACATTCATGTTAGTGACCATTTAGTGTATTATTAGTATATATGTGCATAATATATCGTAACCAATACTTTGAATGATTGTTTTTTTTGTTTAGGAATTAGATATGGTGGTTTTTCGGCATGTGAATTATTTGGAATCCTTGTCGATCCATACTGTTAAGTACTATCATTCTAATTGATTGAGTGGTTTTAGGATCTAGACTAGCACATTCTGTAGCCAGTTTTTTTCTCTGTTTTCATGAAATTCAATGATAGGAAGATTATGTTGCAAACCATAATACTATCACAGATGTGTTAATGGGTTTAAGTAAATTTGAGCATCTATCCCAGTTTTACATCATCTATAATAAGTGTGAACTTATCAACATGATAATCAATTTGCTTTTGAAATTTTCTACAAAAGAGAACTATTAAACAAAATATATAGTAAGAAATGGTTTACTTATTGGTATGATAAGTAGTATTATACAACTGTATTTATAAACAAAACAATGCTGCATGATTCAGACATAGCATGTGAAACCAATTTCCATCAATAGTACAACTATAATAACTATATCCTGAGGAACAAACTATATATGAAAAAATCAATTGTGAAATTTATTCACAGAGCTTATCTGCATATTTAATTAACCCTATAAGAAAGAAGCTAATTGAACTGAACTTACTACATGTATTTTAATGAAATTTTGAAAGTTTTTAGTTAACAAGTGAAGCCTGTTGTACACACAAAAAATGTTTTATTTTTAACAGGCCCCTCATGAGCCAGTGGAGACATTTTTGTTGAAATAAAAACAAACTATCCAGTCTGGTTTTTCTTAATTTGAACTAAAATTTTTTGGACATTTTTATTGGCTAAAAAGAAGGCGTTTCCTGCACTCTTTTAGCATTGGGGCTGCAAAAAGTGATTTGAAGTGGTAAGGTGACTGAAATCCATCAGCTCATCACAAGTTTAATGGTCAACCACAAGAAGCATGGAAGTCTCCAAATGACATGCAGAGGTATTCAGGAACCATTTAGAACCACCTTGGTAAATATTGTGCAGCAAGCAGAATACAATATTATGCTTGTAGCTGCTTTCAAAGTGTTCCTGTCTGCTCATTCTACTGCTGACTGTCGTGATGCTTTGACCTTCCCTACCAAATTGCAGGTGAAATTGTTTGTATCTCAGTTAAAAGATAAACATAAAAAGATGATAGCAGAAGCATAAAAGGTTGGCTAATTAATGATGCTGAGAATGTGGTTTTATTGATATATACAGAATTTACCCACAGCGGGTAGACCTTAGTACTAGCTAGTATGGAGACTTGAGGATGCTCTAGTTCACTTAGCATTTATCAGTAAACAAATGAAAACTTGTCTCAAAAAGATACGTCCAAAACCACCCTCTTTGGGAGTTTTCGAATTGAACTTACTTTTAATATCCAACAAATTGTAGTGTAAAGACACCCCTTGGCTCCTGAGGGATGTGTTAATAAAGTATTTCTCCTAAAGTTTTGTCTGTGAATTTCCAAAGTCTTGACTGAATCAGCCTGAGTGAAAGATGATTTTTATGCTAAGAATAGAAATACTTTTCGTTATAAAGTTTCAGATTTCATTTTCATGACCTCAAGAACCTCCTAAACAAATATCACAGGTTTTGTTTTTCATTAAAACTATATATTTTATCTCTTATTTTCTACATGCTGACACCAACTGTAGAGAAAGCGTTAATTAATAATACCATTTTTACTCTGCATTTTTCTTCCCAATTACTTAACAGTTTCAACTATTAACTCTTTTCACACCTGGTTTCTTTTCATTTTATGTTTTTATTGCTGTATTTTGTAATCATTTTGTAAAAAATAATAAATCACAATGGGAACCCATTAGCTGCTTCCTGTAGAGCCAATGTAAACAAGCATGTGTTATATTGTCATATTTCACATCAGTGCTCAAGCTAGTGTAATTTTTTGTCATTTTATTTTACTGAACTTTTGTTAAGCTAAGCTGAGAATTTTATAATTTTTACATTTTACTTACTTAATATATAGTAATAAAAAAGCAAGGATCGTTCATACTCACTGGGTACTCGAGTTGTTTGCACACAAGTAAAAATATTTGACATTCTTTATTTTGGGTGTCAAAAAAGAAAATTCATGTAGCTTTCAAATATGCATTTAAGAACAAAAAATATATATCGGGCACTATAAAAGAAAGTCCCAAAACTATAATTTATTTGGCTTTCTGAGTAAGCTATAAATAATTTAAAAAAATTATGTTAATTCAGAGAACCATATCTGATCAACAAAAATCCAGCAGTTGTCTTCAACTGAAGGATAATAGGTGACAAAACTGAATTGTAAGACTTGTATTGGTAATTAAAATGTCCCTTAGCCTTAGATGATTCAAATTTTATAGTTTTGCTTGTAATTATGAAAGTTTGTGTTTCTAATTGGTCAAAAGCTGCATCATGTATTTATAAAGCTAGAAAATTCTGAAGTAGGAAATTGGAATTCAGAAGCATCACCTGACACAAAAAAAATAAAAATTAAGATTTCTTTTTTAAAATCAAGAAATTAAAACTTGCATAGTTTTAAAATTTCAGTTATAAATTACATTTTCAAGCCAAGTTTATTGACATATATTGATAATAAACTTGTTTACCTGGATTTTTTTAATGTAACAATTAACAGATTGTAGCGCACCAAAGAGCCATGTTTATATGAAGAGGGTTAATAATCAACTGAGATTGCAGCTTAGTCAAACTAAATCATATGTGAACTCAGTATTTAAAGTTTAAAATGAAATTATCAATTCTAACACCATAAATTTAAAAAGATAATTACCCTAACTTGATCATTATATGTATAGTTTGGAAGTTTTAGTTTTTATGGGTGTTTGAATGTGGATGGAATAAGTTAACCTTTAATTTTTATTATTTTTATCTTTGGACAAGGCTTATAACCTAGCTTGACCCGAGTTCTCAAATGGACGATTATTTTTCTTGTTCAAGATGAATTCTGTTTCTTCCCTTTTCTAGTTTCCTTTTCAGTTCTTAAATGTTTGTATTCTAAGCACAGTTCCATATTTGAACTCTACATATTTAGCATTAAAATACATATTTATCTTTTGATAAACTCTTTATTACACTTCTTCTCATATGTTTCACTGTGTAAGGAGACTTCTGCATGTACAACTATAGAGGAAACATATTGACAGTGGAGGGAGTATCTTGTTTGTTAATGAATGATGGAGTAACTTTAATATTTAGCTTATCCTCAGAGAGGTTCAATTAAGTTTTCATCTTGAGTAATAATAATAGTGATAGGATAATCATGTGCACTTAAATCAATAAATGGAAATATAAAACGTTAATTTTCATTGGTTCTGAATTGCATTTCAGGAAGAAAGACTCAAAGAATATAGGAAAGAAAAGAGAAGAGATAGAAAGCGCAAAGCTCAGGAATCAAGTGAACAGGATGTGGATCCTGATGTAGCAGCTATGATGGGTTTCTCTGGATTTGGATCATTAAAGAAATAATTTTCTTCTAATCAAATAACTGTTTATTTTAAAATTATTAAACTCTTTGTAATATGTGTCAGGTTCTTGAACAATAAAGATGCCAGTGTCATAAGAAATCTTCACAAAACATAACAGGCTGAAGTTTGTAATAGGTCATCATGTAGAATTAATGTCAACAAATTTTCTAAAGTAAAAAAAAAACAAATTGTAAAGTTTACCTGTATGTAAATTTGTGTTGTTAAAAAAGCTGAAATATGGCTTTACTTTGTAAATGATTATGAGCCTATTAGGTACAGATTTCATGAAGTTTTTATATATAATAAATTTTTGAAATAAGTGAAACATATATATACAAAATGAAATATGCACATTTTCCAAATATAGCAGGTACAAAAGTATGCAGAACCCCTCACTTACTTAAACCTTTTTTTAGTATCCAGATATTTTAGAAGGAATTGGTACTTTTACGTACCATTCTGGGTCTCAGAACCTTTTTTGTCATCCTGGGTGCTTTAGATCATGAAAAATGGACACTTTGAAAACATTTGGAAAATCTGGATGTGTGTGACCCTAATAGGTTCCACAGTTTTTTAGCAAAATGTTAATGAGTGATAGGGAGATTGTAAGTTTAATATTTTAATTCTTGAAGAAATAGGTATTTAAAAATATATTCTGATGTTATACCATAATCTTTAAATTCATTTTGTGCCATCCTGGATATTTCAGACTGTATGAAGTTCATAGTGTATTGAGATGACAAAACTATATATATGTAAGAGGTTCTCAACAAGAGTCATGCAGTTAATAAATCACAACAATTTATTGAGAAATGTGAACTTGACAGTTTTTTAAAGCCACAAAGATAATTAAAATAAAACAACTTTTTCACAACTGAACAGAA